ACCCGTGCGGACTCACAAGAGGTCCTATCACCAGCCAGAAGTCTTTGAATCGTATCCTAATACTTACTGGTACCATCTTGGCAATTCCGATACCGCATCATACATTCGCTCTTAAAGGATCTCCGGGCTCGCTGGTATGCACCACAGATCCATCTGATTCCAATGTTTTTATATTCTTTTAGCATATCGGTAGGACATGAAACGCACTTTCGATAAAGTTTTTCCCTGGAGAGATTCAAACATATTTTGAAATTCTATAGTTAATTCACAAGTTCAATACAATTCACTTATTAAAATAAGGTTGCATTTATTCTTTAAAATCTATGAGCCTTCATTATCAGTGAAAAATAAAGGAGCGGTGCGTGTTTCTGGTCATCTATGCTAAAAGTATGCTGTGATTGTGACAGACACCACACTGTCAATAAAAATCGTCTAGGATCAATTAAAGCTAATGTGAAGACTTAATTCGACTTATATTCGAATTTGATTTTATCTTCATAAAATAGAAAACAAAATTAGGATATGTATAGTTGTCTTACGCTGATTTCCGTTCTTTTGTCTCAACAGATGAAGCTTCTGATGATGTACTACTTGAAGAACTAGACGATGAAGATCTAAATGATCATTATTAGTTAATTAATAATTAATTTTCTGATTTCAAGAAGAAATTTAACATAAAAACGAGACCCAGACATAATCGAAACATCAGGGATTCATTTGCTTAATTTTTTGATGAGCGACTCTGATTCCTGATTTGGAGGTCTTACTAATCAGCGGCATGAAAGGCATTTCTCAGGGTGTTAATGGTTTGAATTTTGATATGTTGTAAAGTGGGTTCATTTCTGATCTATGACTAACAAAGTTTTGTGATTTCTATTATATTTATCCAAAATATCAAAATATTTTATTATCTTATCACAAGAGACAACTGGTAAAGAGGTTTAAAGGGAGAAATTTTGTAGACCAAGTTCTAACTTAGACCTTAGCACAGAATTACGTAGAATCTGGTCAGTTCGTGCGTAGAGTGTATCGAGGATCACTTAAATAACTTGACAAAAATACCAGCATTACTACGAGCATTGAAAATATATGCTGTTTGGCAAGTCCTACAAAAAGTAGTGGCTATCGTTCCGTAATTTACTATCGTTAAATTAGTCAGTATTACATATAGGTTCTTTAATTTAAATTTTGGTAAATGGATAAGTCTCCTCACATGCTGCTACTGCTGGTGTCAGTTATGCCGCTTTCTAAATCGCTTTTCCCCTCATCAGAGTCAGAGGAATCGTCGTCGTACCAATCCGGCCCTCGGTGCTGGGCGTCATTGAATTCCGCTATGTTTTTCATTGAGTCGACGTTTTGAAGGTACAGAGTGGTCAAGGTTAGGGCATCGTTTTGACATTTCGTCTGTAAAATTCCTAAAATGTGTGTTTTTTTTTAAAAGCCACTTTTTTTTATTTTATTTCTGTCATATTTTTATAACCATACTGATATAGTTTGCGGTTTGTCTGCTATTATGGAGTTATCAGAAGTTAAAGATACTAAAACATGATTCCACCGTTCATCCTGATGTAAGTTCAAAGCCTCGAATTATTTTGAACGGCTATCTTATCATTCGAAATAATGAGGTATGAACATGCGTGAACCTTACAATTCAAGTAAGGTTTTAAAACTATATATTTTTTTAGATTTTATCATATCAGTAACACAAGTTCATTTTCATATTCCCTAAATAAACAATATTACCTATTCTTGTGGCCTACGTGTTACTATTAGCCAGTAAACTTTCAGTACAAAGCGCAACTGCCTTCAAATTCAAATAAAAATGTTAAAAAGACATCACTGTGAAGCTAGCTCAGGGATTTAATAAAACTACTTCAATATTATAATGCAAAATTCTACAAAGACCTCATCACATTCCACTGCTAGAAAGTTTTAAAGGATTTTATTTTTTATTTTTCACACGAATATTAACTGTTTTATCTAATGTTTTTTTTCTTTTAGTTAGCACATTAAATTGTTTCATTATACATTTTTGTAGATTTCCGTTTGATATTAAGATAGTTTAGAATAATGAAGAAGAAATAAACTTTTTGTTGGTTTCAGTGGTTCCATGGTAATTAAAGTTAATATAGACTAGAATATAATACACAAATAAGATATTTTTTCCATTGTTAAGATGGATGGATGAGCTCACGCCCCACCTGGTGTTAGGTTACTGCCACTCATTGAAAAATGAGTTCTAAATCTATTTTTTTTTATTGCTTGGATGGGTGGACGAGCTCGCGGCCCACCTGATCTTAAGTGGTTACCGGAGCCCATAGACATCTACAACGTAAGTGCCGCCAGCTACCTTGAGACATGAGTTGTAAGGTCTCACTTTTAACAATACAACGGCTGCCCCGCCCTTCAAACTGAAATTTATTTCTGCTTCATGGCAGAAAAAGGCAGGGTGGTGGTACCTACCCGTGCGGACTCACAGGACATCCTACCACCAGTAAATTAGATATTAGATAGAGTGATAGAAGTTTTTGTCTATATTTACGAAGCATTTTTTAAATGTAATGACTAGTTCGGTCACGATCTAGCTCTATTCAATTGCAGCTTCTGTTTGCCACTAGTCCCTTAATCTGCCGATACCCGATGATAAAGACAATCACGACACATCATCTTTATCACGTCTCATCTTTATTTTCAAAAATTCTTCAGTATGTAATATAAAATTGTCTAAACATTTTTTTTTTGGATTTATTAAAAAATAAATAAACCCTACTTACCACACACGGCTAAGAGAAATATGTTGTAGAATAGCATCGTATTTCATTGTTAATCAAGGATTATTTCTTTTCGTATCGTAAAAATATTTATACGTACGGTAATATAAGTTTACAGTTCGTACTAAGAAATAATATGGTTTTCTTATTTTTGTAACAAGGTTTTGAACATTTATTACTACTTTTAGATTACTTCTTCAATATCTCGAGTCGTATTGAAGTAAATATGAACAAATTGACATTGAAATCGAAGATACCTGATGGATGGTGAAACTATTTCAGAAATGATTTCATTAACACGCTCTTCACTCTGAGCAGGTACATAGTTCGTCAACCAAATCATTTGAGAGTACCGGTTTTAGGAAATATTTTTTAAGTAGTTGAACGGAAATAAGAGACCAATGTGTATATTTCTGGTGGTACGACGTCTTGTGAGCCCGCACGGGTAGGTACCACCGCCTCGTCTATTTCTGCCGTGAAGCAGTAATGCGTTTCGATTTGAAGGGTGGGGCAGCCGTTGTAACTCTACTGAGACCTTAGAACTCATTTCTCAAGGTGGGTGGCGCGTTTACGTTGTAGATGTCTGTTGGGCTGTGAGATCGTCCATCCATATATGTAATAAATAAATCACACGTCCCTTTACAGATCTAACGATTTTGTTACTTCAAGACGAAAGCTTGTGACCCAGTTGCATGTATGTGTGTGCGACAGACGAATCCTTTCAATATCCATAGTCGCTTTAATTCACTAGTTCTAAATAAATAAATAAACAAATAAATAAATATTTACTAACAATCACGCCACGTTAACTGGTCCCGTTATAAGTTCGTAAAGAACTTGTGTTACAGGTACCAGATAACGGAAATAAATATAAGATTTTTATTATACACATAAATATATTTAATATACATCCATAACCCTGGAAAAGACATTTATATTTATCATACAAATATCCTCCCTTGGCGGGATTCGAACCCGCGACCTCCTTGTGTAGTGACCATGTCACTTACCACTACACCAGACGGCCGTTAAATGAAAAAGAGATTTGTATTTGTTTTGCTTTATTGGGTTATATACAAAAGCGCTTTACGCTCACACAAGGCTCGGTTCCATTGTTCTTGCCAAGTTGTCGTTTAGTTGAATGTAGTTCATAGTCTTCATTCGTTTTCATCACTTTCAGCTTCTTCACCTGTAACAGTTTCATTTTCAAAATATTGTAATACACTATGTAGTTCCTGCACCACATTAACATTTGACTATTGATAACAGCGAGAATTATGCTTCGTTGCAATTTTTGTCAAATAGTTGTAGTGGTTTAATTCCAAAATAGCATTAACCTCTAAGTTAATAAGGCTATTTTTGGATTCATTCATGTACACGTCGCTTATCAACCAAATAATTGTTCGTACCGTACCGCATGGGAGGCGAGCGGTGCAGTTAGTGTCGTATCGTCTACTTCAAAATCCCCTTGACTACAAAATAAGCCTGTTCCCAATACCGATTTTGATTAAATGAGATTTGTATCAAACTGGCGACCATTTGTCGTTGCAAATACATTTTTAATTTAATGTCCGGAAAGTTTACGGGCCTTTGGGCGCTTGTTAAAAATACACAGTAACTTTTTGACAAGGGATGTGTAACTTTGCCTCGAAATTTGTAAGGGTATTATTTGGATAGAAAGGGTGTTTAATATTGCTATTTCGTGCACATAAGTACATGAATGCTAGGACTGTTAATGTTGATATTTTCATTTAAATTAGATATCAACGTGATGGAAATGAATTAAGGATTGGAGGAATTGAGGATTTGATATAAAGAATATCATATATTATTTATGTAATATATAAATCAGTACATACAGATATAATGCCGGACTCTTCCAGCTATAGTTGTCGTTACTTTGATCTCATATAATCGGAAAACGAGAAGACAATAGAATAACTGAAATCCTAAATTCCAGTCTTAAGTATCACTCACAATTGTAACCATTTCTGATTCACCTCTTACTGTATGTATTGATATATTTGCCCAAAGCGAGCATAGTATGTGCTCCTAGCCAATCTAATTGGCATTGTGTTGGCAATGTTAATGTCTTAGATGGCGGTTGTCCCCAAGGTTTGTTTATCTATCAGTTGGAGGTATTTAATTATATATCAAGAAATGCAAAAAATATATCAAGAATTTCCTCAATTCAAGTTTATTTTTGATAATTCAAAATTTGAAGTGTAATTACGTACCGGATTTAAGTATGAATTTTCCATTTGCAAGCATCTGTATTTGGGTACTCGGAGAATCTGGCAATGAAAAATTTATTTATAACAGTAAATTAAATGAAAATCGAATGAATGATATGATCAAGATTTTAGTCTACATTAATTTGGTTTTGATCAGCAAAATTCGGTTGCAATCCACCGTACCAATCCACTATAGCCGATATCTGCACATACACATTTGTACAGAAGCATTTCTATGGCAGCTCATGAACACTTAAAGGACAAACATACAAAGAAATATTCATTTTTATTGATAGAGATAGATGATCTCACTTATTTTTCAAATTTAATTAAACGAACAGGATTCGTAGAACAGTGACTGTACGGAAATAATAAAACACTTACAGCCATTTACCGGACTTCCCAAAATCTGGGAAGGAATCAAAGGACTTCCGTGCGAAAAAACTGGTGATTGGTACATCTGAGCCGAATACAATGGCGGTGGTACTAAGTGGCCTTTAGGAACAGTGGGAGGCACTAATTCACCACTATACTGATACTCTTTGGCATTGGATATTTCGTTACCAAAAATTTGTGGAGTTGCTGTAGCAATTTGTGTCTGACTTCCATAGATAATTTCTGCTAAAGTCTCTTCCTTAGTCAAGGCTGATGGGGTGTCACCGTAACTCAAATATTGACTCTGACCTGGCGCGTCACCTCGGTAAATATTCTTTGGGTAATTATTTGTCAGTCTAGTCCCAGGTCTGTGATCATATTGAGACACTTCAGGCTTGTACTGTAGAACATTCGATATCTGATCTTCAATATATAATGGTTGTGTTTCAATGCTCTGGCTACTAGATGGGATCATAAGGCTTCCTTCCGAACCTTGATATTCTAAAGCAGTTGGATGGCGCAAGGATAGTGAATTGAGTTGTGATGCTTGTTCCTCTGCTTTATTTGGAGACGTGTGTACTGATATGTAACCTATAACAAACCAATAGCACTATAAAAATCAAAGACATTCATATTGACAACGATATTAATTGGATCTGTCAATGATCATTGCTTAATATTTTTAGTTCTACATCTGACTTAGTTTTAACGATCACACATAATAAGCTTAAAATAGCATAGTATGTTGTTTTTGCCACCTTTAATTTTTAATTTATAAAAAAAATGTCGATTTGAAGAACACGCCATAGCATGTCGAACTGTAATGACAAACAAACGAGAAACAACTGATTTTGTTCCGCAAAAGGGGTGACAAGGGGGTGTGATAGACAATTACAATTCTGCCCCTCGATGCGGTATCTCGTTCAGGGGTGAACGAATTCTATAAATGGACAACGAGAAAACCAATACACTTAGGGAATGTTTCGCTAATAGAGTTACAATCTAGTGCTCAGCAATCAGAGGAGATGGAGCTTTTTAGAAATACGAAGACTTTAACTAGAGCTAAAGTTTTAAAAAATAAGCTTAAGATTTTAAATAGTCTTGGATCATTTTAAATCACATTAGTAATGGTCATGTTTTTCTTTTTCTTTTATTGCTTATGGTGGACGAGCTCACAGCCCACCTGGTGTTAATTGATTACTGGAGCCCATAGACATTCACAACGTAAATGCGCCATCCACCTTGAGATATAAGTTCTAAGGTTTCAAGTATAGTTACAACGGCTGCCCCACACTTCAAACCGAAACGCATTACTGCTTCACTGCAGAAATAGGCAAGGTGGTGGTACCCACCCGCGCGGACTCACAAGAGGTCCTACCACCAGTGGAAAGGTAAAAACTCATGTAAAAACTAGCTGTAGTTTCTGAAGTACAGAACATTCAAAGTAACATTAATTAATACTGTATATTGACTACCTTGATAACTTCAAATGGGTGTATTTGATTGTATTTAATGTCGTAAGACGTCAGACTAAGTTTGCATTTCGTTTGACATAGGTTTGGGCAAATTTAGCACATGTTCCCAAACATAGTTGTATGCTTATAAAGAATGTATCACTTCGCTGTGTCCATTTCAAATCTTCCTATTAGTGGTTGACCGTTTCGTTTTTGTCTTCGTGTGATTACTTATATAGATATAACTATAATATCTTCTATAATATTATATCTATCTATCTATCTATCTATGTAAAATAAGCAAATATACTTTTCTACATTGTTTGTGAATAGATTTATTTTTTTCTATTAATTATTGACGTACTTTAGCATCAATAAACATATTGTTTGGGAGAATTTAAATATTTTAGACACAAAAGAAAATCTAACAAATAAAATTGCTTTTAGTTTATGTATTTTTTCTTCTAAATGGGTGATTTTCTTTTTACAATCTAGTATTATCAGTTAGTGCTTTGTTTATATCTACCATTTCTCATTAACCTAGTACTTTAACCCTTTTGCGGTCCTAAGACTAATGTAAGACTAAATTATATGTCCAATACGTGTAGACTTTGGCCCTCAAAGGGTTAAAAGTAATTCATAAGGGTATTGGCTTATTTAAAACGTAGTTCATGCTTTTCAACTACAAGTGAGAGCTCCACAGAGCAAAAAATAAGACCAGCCACCAAAGCTATCTCAGTGTAGTCTGTACATTATCTATGAGTGCGATTTAAAATTAATTTCCCGGGTTCTTCTTTTAGCCAATTAATGTTTGTAATTAATTTATAGACGGTTGAATCATGTATAACAACATTACATTTCCACTAATGTGCTGTTAACTTGTCTGAATAATTAAATCAACAAAAACCGGTTAAAACCAATTAATTTTGAAGCAGGTTATATAATGCAGCAGATAACCATTCATTTAGAACCGGTCGTAAACCGACTGCATCAGCTCCCGGACGTACAGAACAGACGGCTTTACGTACACGTGTCAATTTTGACACTCGTGTCGTGCGCTACCGTAAATTTTAACTTTTATTTCAGTTTTAACTGTCCAATGTTGTAAGGTTTATAACTCGGTTTTTTAAAACCGTTGTTTTTGTTTTTGTTTTTGTAGCAACAGCAAATACTTTTGATATTTCGGCCAACGGCCCAAGTCTGTCATTACAGTTATGACAGAATACGGCAGCGAATGCGGTCTGTCATTGACAACGGTTTTGACTGCTTTAGTAAACTAGGAATTCAGAAGCACCATTATCGATGATCTACTTCATGAAATACTTAATACACGAAAATCATAAGGAATCTTGGGCTCATTGAACTTTCGACAATTTCATAATCTAACCCCCGCTATAATAGTAACTGTGATGGGAACCATGTTGATCATCCTGCAGTCGCAGTTATAACAAATCTCTATTAATAGACTTTTGGCCGATCGTTCCGGATCCAGTACCTTGGGAACTTTTGGCATAACTGTAATGAAATTGCAGCGGTATAGTAGTCATTAGGTCAAATCACGTAAAATAACAGACTTGGTTAGTCATGTGAAGTAAAATAAGAGTACTATTAGTTACTGATAGCGGCTATATATAGACTTACCAGGAACTGCGGGCGCTGCTGTGGAATAAGCAATGCTTAGAAATATTATACATATAACCGCGCAGGGACTTCTTAAACTTTTAAAATTGTTGGGCTTTCGGGCATGTTTTGAGTTAGTATGTATTGCTAGCATTATATTGCTTATTTCTGTCTTGAAAGTTCATGTGCCCCATGGGCACAACAGTAGTTACTGCAAGGCAATAAAATATACGATATCGTGTATCCAAGATTGGAAGGGGGATGTAAATTGTGCTTTTCATAAGCTACAGTAGCATCACCACGTACATTTAGCTCTTGTGTGACCAATTCATTAAACAAATTTATGGAAGAACACTTACGAGTATAGACAGGAGCGGCCGTTACTGTTAATAAAAAAGGATTTCGTTAAATTCAACCAATTCGGACATTGCATTTTTTTGGATTGTATTAAATACCATCGTCAATGCTATCCTGCCAGATCTCATTGATACTACTCAAGTACTATTTACTATTTACCTAGATCAACAACTATATCGAATCTCAGAACTTCAAAATTTGACTTGAAGTTTGAGACACAGGTGAGATATTGGGTCGTTAGAAAGTAAATAGATTCTAAGACGCTGCATGTTGTTCTAGGATTTTGAAAACTCATTTCGCCACTGCTTATAGCAATATTATTTAATTATTTAATATTATTCCATTGATTATTATATTATTAATTAAAATATTATTTTTGTTAACTTAATCTGAAAATCATATCTTTACTTTTGAAGTTAATTACCGTTTTAGAATAAAATGATGAAATCTAGTTTGAAATTCAGTAATTTGTTTATTGATTTTGTTACTTAAACATTAACTTCTATTACCTACTACTACTAATCATTTTATTATTTCGGTCAAATATAGATACTAAATACTAGGTATCACCTGGGTTAAAAGAGTAATTTAATATCAAATTATTAATATCACAGCGTTGTTTATGATTATCTTTTTGTAATTTCTAACATTATATTTACTTATTTAGATCAAAGTTTCAATTAAATTAGCACAGGGAGGATATTCTGCGAGATATCGATACATGTTAATGAAAAAATATAAATATTTAGATGTGTGCTAATGTAGCGTGGGTAGGCCTCCTATAAGATGGATCGATGACCTATTGAGGTTTGCAGGGATCCAGTGGATGTAGGCACCGCAGGACCGACCTTTGTGGCGATTCTTGGGGGAGCCCTACGTCCAACAGTAGTTTGTGGTTTTGTGGCGGTATCCATCACAGAACACAACATATTTGACAGATGCCTGAACCTCGCTTACGTCATTTTCATGATAAGCTAGCATAGATTGGCTTGCATATTTTGAACTGGTGGTAGGACCTCTTGTAGGTCCGCGCGGGTAGGTACCATCACCCTGCCTATTTCTGCCGTGAAGCAATAATGCGTTTCGGTCCGAATGGTGAGGCAGCCGTTGTAACTGTGACCTTAGAACTTAAATCTCAAGGTGGGTGGCGCATTTACGTCGTAAATGTCTACGGGCTCCAGTAACCACTTAACACCAGGTGGGCTGTGAGGTCGTATACCCATTTAAGCAATAAAAAAAATACAAGTTCCGAATTTTTGGAGCGTCGGTCTGCAGAGCAATATCACCCGCTCGGTGGAAGATCTTCCCGTCGTCGTATGCTTACAGGTTGATAGAATAAAATGCTAATCGATTACAGGACCAAAACGTAACCCGCCACCGAGAAAACTTAACAAAACATTTTCCCAAAAAGTAATAATTCGTCACTTTGCGTCAACCACGCTACTACATCAGCCCACTAAAGGATAACACTTAAGTGTATTAACCGTTAAGATATATTGAGATTGATTCCCTAGGAGTAATAAAAATCAGACTTACCCGTAGACGCTTGCCCATCATAACCTGGAATTGGACAGGGTTTAGTGATTTTTCATTAACATATACATTGATCTAGGCTTCAGTAAACGCATACGTCAGACTTTTACATTTCGGATATAACATCGGCAAATTCGTTTACAACACCATGGATTTGATTGTGGAGACCACATAAATCTGGTTTTAGTGTCTTTAGCGACTTTCATGAAAGTTTTTTGAAAAAAGTCCTAGTTTATATGAATCACGACGATACTCTTGGTTGTGTTAAAGGTACTAAGCTGCATTAACATGTTTTAAGATGGCACCTTGTGCGCAACGTGAAGTTCTTAATATCATGTGCCATAGTTACTTTAAAATGATGATCCGCCTGTGATTTTTTTCAAAACAGAAATTAATAATTATTGATCTTAAAATATATAATTAAAAATCAACTTACAGCAAGATTTTTTAGTGTAACAGTTGACTTCTATGGTGACGTGGCCGACCGTGATCTCTTCAGTGCAAACGCACA